TCTCTTTTGTAATTTGGATCTTCTCATAAGCTGTTGTCTTTAATTAGGATGGTTAAGTCTGAGCAATTGGGAGACAATTGCTCCTCTGAAGGCCAAGATGACCATGCAAAGAAGGCTGGCCAACCTTTGACTTTCTAAAGGCTCAGAAAGGGAGAGAGGAAGACCCTGCCCCACCTCACCTTCTCCATTGTCTCCCCTGCCCCAGCCACCAAAGTTCTCACTGGCTTCCCTGGGCAGTGTATTTAAGGATACCAGATCTTCTCAGGAATTTAGGAGGGTGGAGATCCAGGCCAAGTATTAAGTATTAAAAGCATTTGTGCTGGTTCACAGACATATTATTTAATTCAGGAAATCAAGACTTCCAAAATTATGAGGCAAATTTGGATCCAACATATAAATTGAGCTTTATCCCTGAATTGCATCAAATAATAATCTGACGGATTTTGCAAAGCCTACGTACAAACATACCCACCCTGATTCCTCCCTATTTTTCTCAGATTCCCATCGCCTGAGGCCCTGATGACTTAGCTCCGGGCTCACTGCTACCTGTGGGTACTAATGTCCATCCTAGTTTTCACCTGTAAAGCCCATTCTAGCCAGGTGGCAAAGACCCGGAGCCTCACTGTAGGCCACTCCCTGGCTTGAGGGCTAGTCAGCCACCCCCATGGTTCCATGCGATTATCTTTGCCCAGGATGACTCCCCCGCCCCCCCTTTAACACCTGGAGCAATCCTGCTCCTCCTTCAAGTCCCTGCTCAAATCTAATCTCCCCTGAATTCCAGTTTCATGAGGATGCTGTAAAAACCAAGGCACAGAGGTCAAGCTCCAGACACAGGCCTGACACAGACTGGGCACCTGATCCAAGACAGCTCCGATTATCACTGTCGTCCCCTTGCTCCCTGCCCCCTTGAGGAATCCATCCCTTCGCCCGACTCCCTCTGCCTCTTATACATTCTCACATCACTTGCATAGTTAAGCTCACCCCTCTCTGTTGAATCCCAAACTCCTTCGGGGCAATGACCTTGTCTTGCTTCTCTTCGGGCCCTATACCTGGCTCTGGGCCTTACACTTAATGGGCTCCACGTGTATTTGCCAATAAATCCTCCTGTCTCCTGGGATCCAGAGAAAGCAGTTTGATGAATGGTCAGAACATTGTGATAAATTAAAATTCACTTTATGATGTGGCTATAGAGACAGACAGAGACTGTGCTGTCTAGTGACATCATGTCGGGTTGGTGACACCAATGATCATTAGTAATGTTTACTTTAGGATAGTGCCCTTGGCCTGGACACATGTGGAGAAAATAATCCAGAGCCCCAGGGTATGAGTCACGGTGGCCTGTAGCAACTGCCTCCCATAGGGACGGTGCTATCGGCTGGTGTGGCCTGTCCCAGTCTGTCCTTTCAGACAGAGCCGTATTTCATTCATCCTACAGGCCCCAGAGTTTCAGTAAATATTTTTGGATAAATGAATTTCTTTCTTTTTTTTTTTTTTTAAAGATGACCGGTAACTGGTAAGGGGATCTTAACCCTTGACTTGGTGTTGTCAGCACCACGCTCTCCCAAG